AACCATTGCAATGATGTTTACCAATTTCAAGTGGGTGGAGGTTTTTTTAAATAGTAAACAGGGGGAGTAATGTGTGTGTGATTTCTGTTTGTGTGCGTGAGCATGCGTACGTGTGTGGGAGTGTGCCATGGGGCCACTAAGTCAATGCACTTTCCTTTATTTTAAAGACACAATTTGCCTTATCAGCCAAAGTGATCTAACGGAGCTTTGCAATGCTGTATCTAAGTTGTTTATGACAGACATCAGAAGAAACAACATCAACCGTCCATTCAACTGTTCCCAACACACGTTTCTTTAGTGTGATTTGATGAACATGAACCAGAAATAACTGGCCTAATTACTTCTGAGAGGCTAAATTGATGCTAGATTAATCGTTGAACAGTCCTGCTATCACTATGTTTTACAGTCAAATGATTGTCATGGTATTATAGAAATAGGGCAGCATTATGGTAAATACATAGTGATACGGATGGTTCACTCCTAGTCGTTTCAGAAAACAACTAGGAGGGTTTTGAGGGTTCGACAGCAGCAACCTGCGATGAAATTGCACAAATGACAGCTCATTTTACTGGCATTCACTTCATTCTATTCACATTTTTGTTGTAGATCTATTTTTTTATTATTATTGAATTATCACAGCTCAGATCATTCGGGGCCAGGTTTAGATTAGCTTTTTTATGGAATGAACAAACTCCTGTAGTTCATTCAGACCCAGATGGCTCCAGCATGGTTCTAGTTCCTGATCCAAACTGAGAACCAACCAGGATGTTTATACCTCACAACTAGAAAACATTTGCAAAAGTTGCAGCAGCTGATCACATCAGCAGGTTTGTAAACACAAGTTGTGGCCAAGTGAAGGGAGGGAATACAACAAAGTGGTAAATATTATTTGTTTTTGTTTTTTTACCGAAAGGTCAAGCCTCATCCTTGTCATTTGCAGTTGAACACATTTGAAACTGCTGTTTAGTAGCTCAGCTTCCACCAATCCTCATTCACCTTTTAACATTTTTTCACCTGATGTCTTTAACAACTGAAACTATAACTGGAAAAACCTCCTGATCATCGTGCAGCTGTGCAACTATAGACTTAAAGCACCTTTTTAATTGATTCTTACTGGATTTAAGATAGTTTCTTTTTTTCTTTTTTTATTTATCTCTTCTCTGCAAATATGCCTTCAGTGCTGGCCACATGTGCAGCACAAACACAGTATATACACATGAATTATACATAAACTTTTTTTTTTACAGGACTGAATGTGTTTTTATCTGTCGACTGCCTCATTTAACATCCCTCCGTGTTCATCATTGCCAAAGTGGTGTTCAGATGAACACCAGAGGGTGCTCTTGTGTGTTGTTTTTTTTAGAGATGTGCCTGACTGTACTGGTCAAGAAAAAAGAACATACACAGCGTACAACAGCTGTAAGATATTGTGTACTGAACGACAGTTTGTAGTCTTTGTTAGGGTGTTTGGACGTGAGCAGGGCTCCCCCACTGAGCAACGACGAGTATCTAAACTATCTGTGAATGTATGTGTGACTGATGTAAGAAACTGTAAACCACTCTACTGTTGAAAAGAGAGGAAAAGGAGACAAAAAAAAAAAAAAAAAAAAACAGAGAAAGTTGTTTCTGTCCCTTGTCTTTTAAGATGCACAACCGGATTTGTCTTCCTTTTTAAAAGTGGATTTCTGTAAATATGTTGTTTAACGTAAAACTAAAAGTGTCACTAGGCTGTCAGTAGTGTTAACTGTGATTGCTATTTACTGTGTGGAAGAATCTAAATCGGTTCTTTCAGCAATGAAACCTGCATTTGTTACAAAATTTTCAACTTAATAAACAGTTATTCTTTGCAATAAAAGCTGGAATTTAGATGTTGTCAAAATGATTAGTCATGTATTTCATGTCAAGCAGAAAACTTGACCTCTTTGACCCTACAGACGTTGGCTATGATTGAAAACCCAAAGAACACTTGCCTCAATATGAAAAACATTATTGGAAGAATCTTCCTGAATGGGCACAGTTAATCTGAAACTGAGAAGAATCCATTAGCTGCCAAGTCTCCACTGAGGTGCTCTGAGCATGGCACTGTCCCCACACACTGCTCTCCAGGTGCTTAAAGCTGCCACACGTTGATGATGGGTTAAAAGCAGAGGCTCAGTTCCGTTGTATCCCTGTGGTACAATGACAATAAAGCCCATAAAATAAATAAATCAGGTTTCAGACATGTATTATGAAATTACGTTAAAAAGAAAAAAATATTTAAAAAATAATAATATGAAAAATTTAATTAGGTCAGCAAAATCAAATGTAATTAGCTGTGTCTCTCAGAAAGCTATAGAAAAATTTATTAAATTGGTATCTTTTAACCAACCAATTAACTGCATGGGAGCAGCAGAGTATTTCTTTTTTAACTTCTGCCTTTTCTATGCACCACGTCTTTTCAGAAAATATCCATTTTATAACTCACAGATCAGAGATATGACGGACTGAACTTTGGATTTTGTATTCTAACAAAATCCCCATTAAATCATAGAATACACTACATTCATGTTTATTTCCCACATCATTAATCAACATGGCAGACAGTGGCCAGAGGTTATCATAGCATTTTAATGAGTCTTCAGCGATTAGACTTTGCATTTGTCAAATTCTTAAGATATATACACAGGAAATTGGTGAAAAAAAAATCATCCAATATTGGAGGCAATTGGTTTTCAAGTCTGAGCTAAAATCAAACAACCACATTTACAATAACATAAACATCTGAGAGTTGGATCAATGCCCGAAAGTCATCTCCTCAAATCAGATTAAAACATATCTCCTGTTAGACTGGTTACTTTTCTTGTCTGTGTGACACTTCTGTACAGGAGCAGGGAACAATAAAACTGTTACATCCTGAGGAGATGTGGTTCAATCATCACACTCTGCATCCCCCATACAGCTCACATACAAAATGTACTTATCCATAAAAACGACCAGTGACCGAGTGCTTATGTGGGCTTCACACTGGCCTGTAAATGAGAGTAGACAGGTTAGTGGGACACACTGACAGGAGAAATGATGCCCAGGAGGACGTTGGCTTTTCCAAGCAGCTTCCTTGGGTGAAATACTGTATGGCAGTGATAATACATCCACAAATACGACACACGACTGTGAGAAGCCACCACCAGAGGGCGCTTGCGCCGTTTCAACACTCATTTATAGACAACTGCTGACATCATATCATATAGTAGATTTATCTTTTTCCATCTAAATTAGAAAAACTAGATGATTTTTTTTTGTCAGATTATCTACATGTACTTGCTGTGAAGGTGTTTGACACCAACCAGAAAAAATACTGCCCTCTATAGGTGCAACCTAAGAACTGTGGCACAGCTTGTGTGTTTGTGCCAACTGAATCATATCTCCTGCTCTAGGATCCCCAGGAGGTGTTCCTTAAGGTTCCATATTCGGTCTTTTTGAATTTTCTCAATAAAACATGTACATGTACTTTATATGTCTTATGTATAGGTATGTGCAAATATTGAATCCTGACCCATGTAGACTTTTGTCCATCTGTTCTATAAAAATATTTCTTCTACATACTACTACAAAGATGTTGGGTGATATTTTGTAATATCAAACCAAAGTAATCCGCCTATTGAATTATATCGATTGCGATGTTTTTGTGCAAAAAAAGAAAAAACATGGGAAGAATCCAGAAGGAAATCCAGTTCCTGATTGATGTTAGTAAATAATTTTATTGGGAATTTACAGTATGACCTACATCACTAGATTGGTTTTTGTGTTTGTTATTTCTATAGAATTGCTGTAAATTAGAATTTACCCTTTCCCTTCCTTCCTTCCTTCCTTCCTTCCTCCTTCCTCAGACAGAAGGACATTTTCTGGTGATGTTTGTGTCTTTTTTAGGCTTCACCCCCTTTGTTTTCTTTGATCTGTGTGTTTATGGCACATATATGGACTTCAGAGCCCAGTTTGAATTATGTAACACTCAGGCTTTTGAACTGCATGCAAATACAATTAGAGAAATGCCAAAGATAAAAATATGACACTGTAGAGACACGTGTGTGAGTGTGTGAGTGTGTGTGTGTACGTGTGAGCGTGGGCAGTAGCCTTTAACGTTTTAGAGTATATCATTCTCACAACAGAAGGTTAAAGCAGAGGCAACAGCACACGTCTAGTTCACAGATTATTTCCTTTTGTATTTATCATGACTTTTAAATAGAATACTTCTCAAGGTGAAATGTTCAAGAACAGAAAAGGTTGAATGGATAAATTTAATGGTGGGTGCCTTCACATTTTAAAGCCTTAATTAATGTAAAGAAAACAAGTATTTGTATGATAATAGTATTTAGGAAATACATGTTGAGTAATAAATAAGACAATATGCAAACAAGACTATTGATCACATATAACCATTGTGGTGTCTTAGTGAATAAGTAAGCGGACTTGGGTCCAGAAGGTTTCAGGTTCAAGTCCACCAGATGCCAACTTACCACTGAGGTGCTCTGAGCATGGCACCATCCCCGTTCACTGCTCCCCGGGCGCTCAAAAAGCTGCCCACTGTTCACTTTGGTGATGGGTTAAAAGCAGAGGTCACAGTTAGTTGTGTGCAGTGGTTCGCTGTGTCACGGTGACAAGTAGTTCACTTTCCTTCCTTTTTTTCCTTCCTTATGTATAATACTGTATATATAATTTTAAAAACCCATCTAAAAGGTCCTGTTTTCAGTAAACCAAGTTTCACTTGGACTCAATAATGTATTAATTAAACAAACATCTCATCTCCTCTACCTCATCTAAATATCTCATCAACTGCTGACGAGAAGAGAAGAGATCTAGAACACCAAGCACTAAGACTTCGCCACTATGGCTTGTTTTTTATTTACTTGTATCTTACAGAAACAAACCACACATGTAGCCTCTCTTCTCTCCAACTGCTGACATTGTTGACCTCCCTGAATATATA